AGAACCACTAAAATTTTGCCTAGGCTCAGTGTTCTTATTTTTTGGCCGATTTTAGGCTCAAAATGTTCTTAATTTGTTCTTATTTACACACTTTTCAAACATAGAAAATTATTATATTAAAATGCCCTGGACAAACTGACCAGAAAAAAGGCCTGGTAAAAATGGCCCCAAATGAAAGTACACCTGATTATAGAGGGTATTACATAGTCACACCTACATTACTTCACATAAAGTACAGATACATTTTTTGGGTTTTTTAAACACCTCATTTGACATTTTACCTCAGCCTCAATTTGTTCTTAATTTGTATACATATACATATATTATATAGTCCTATATACATATATTATATATAACATATAATATAGGCCTAGGCCTATATATATTACCTGAGTACCTAATCAAGTAACAATGTCGTAAAAGATATGCATATAGTGTCTGTGTTTTTTCAATAGACATTTTTTAATAAACGGAACATAATCATTGAAACCCAAAACATCTCCCGAGCCGCTCTGGCAATAATATGGAGAGAAAAAAGTAGGTCACGGTCACGACCTTTTTTAATTAAGTTAGTAAAGTTAATAGATATTTTACAAGTGATTACCTCGCCGATATCAGCGATATATTGTTCCTTACTGTCTGCTTAATTTACCAAAGGATATTGAATTTCGAATGTAGGCCCTATTTACTACTGTATTAGTCAGCTTAATGACGGTGCGTTTTTGTGTGGTCTTATTATATAGTACAATAGGAGAGGTTACATATGCATACGTACTCTTTAGATCTATCTCTGGATATTTACCCCTCTCCTGCAGACGTGAGTCAGTGTATATTTACTATTGTCGTTTGTAAATATTATTATTTGCTTTATTACATCACAGAAATAGAATATACTCGTCGTTGGATCCAACGGCGAGCACCGGTCCTTAAAAATGGCTGGAATTCAATATGGGATGACAAGCAAGGACTTTTAACTACATTTATAAGCTTTTTCATGAGGCATCTGGAACGATATCAATGTAGAATTAACGATTCAGTAATAGTGTTTATATATTCAAAAGAAATTTAAATGACCATTACTATGAAAACTATAAGTGTGATGCAAACCTATGTATAAATAATTGTGCTGTATGTAATCATATTTAACTTTTCTTCAGAAATTTCAATGACTATTGACTTGTTACTTTATTTATAAAAAAATATTTTTTTGTGATATAGTTGGTAATTTTATTTCATAATCAATGGGCGCCCGTTATAAAACTTGCTTGCAGTGACGACCCTTTTTCCACTTTATTTAAATGTTCTGATGGGCTTATATTTTTATCAATTATTGTTTTTTCTTATGTATTTCTCCGTCTATGTATTTTGTGTTGATGATGTGGAAATAAAATTTATATTGAATTGAATTGAATTTGAGTGTTTTTCCCTGCCGCTTGCGTGTCAATAACACGCCACGTACAAAACTCATTTCTATTTTTTTTTTATAGGTTTCACTAGAATTTTCTATATTTGTTAAATCATGGAGAAATGAAACCTCCATAGTTAAATTAAATTTGCGAGTGCAATTTACGGCCACCTATCGTGTCATAATCATGGATTTTCTTACCTCAGCCCAACCACGATGTGGCTGAGGTGTTACAGACCCCAGTGGTGGATTCAAGGAGATACGAGCTGACCCGGGGCCTCATAAAAGTTGGAGAAAAACAAAACACAGTAATCAGTCGATAACTTTAAAAGTGAAAATTTTGCCAATTTTCTGCAAAAAAACCCGTAAAGGTTTTGCGTTCTGTGGCACTAGCTACAGCTGCTTTAAAAAAGTGATTTTTATTTAGGCCTATTATTATTCAGTCTCGCTCTTCATTTGGCTAGAAGTTTAGATAGAAACGCCCTCTACACATTTCTAATTGTTTCATATTCATCATTTGCATATTTTATAATATATTTTAACACGATTTTAATAGCCTTTATTTTTATATGAAATATAAAGTACTTTAAGATAATACTAAATGTTCATTAAAATCATTAGAAATTATTTTTAAAAATAAGGCAAAAAAAAAGCAATCGCTGTAGGCCTACAATAATACAATGAATAGGCCTCTGTATCCTCGTTGATTGCTTCTGCAGGTAATAACACCAATACAATACGCACAATTAAACCAACTATATTCTAATCACATGCAAGTGTTAATCACCTGACTCTCTCCCTGACGGGTTCCGGGGTCGACGAGGCTTCTTGTCGGTTATACGCCGGTAACCCTCCGCTGAGTCTGGACTCGGGCCTTGGCGAAGGCCCGAGCCTTGGCGAGGTTGAGTACTTAGCCTTGCGACATCGTGTGATCAGGGAACGGTGAAATCTCTGTTCCCTGATATGATGATCGCTTGGCGGTGATACTTGACAGGACTAGGCGATTAACAGATCCTATGTAGGTTTTTTGGTAAAAACAATGAGCTAAAGCTCATACTTTTTTTTGCACGATTTTTTTTACCCCACCATTTTCCAGTTGTTTCGTATTCCATGATACCTACAGATCACAATAGTCCCTGTCTCTTATACACATCTAGATGTGTATAAGAGACAAGTGACCAGCGTACGAGGAGCGAAAACTTGAATACTAAAGAACAGAACGCACTTACTTGTAACTTGTGGGAATAGTGTTAGTGTGGGAACTAATTTCCTCGTTTTAAGCTCATACTTATTTTTGGAGGATTTTTTAACCCCGCCATTTTCCAGTTGTTTCGTATTCCATGACACCTACAGATCACAAGAGTCCTCCGTTGTTGATAAATGCCATTTTAATCCTCGTTTTAAGCTTAAATAACGATAAATCGAATGATACTCAATTAGGCCCATGTGGCCGAATCTAGGAAAAACGACCAGGTTAAAAATTGGATAATTTCGTAAAAAACCATGAGCTATAGCTCATACCTTTTTTTTGGACGATTTTTTTTACCCCGCCATTTTCCAGTTGTTTCGTATACCATTACACCTACAGATCACAAGAGTCCTCTGTAGGTTGATAAATGCCACTTAAATCCTCGTTCTAAGCTTAAAGAACGATAAATCGGATGATACTCAATTAGGCCCATGTGGCCGAATCTAGGAAAAACGACCAGGTTAAAAATTGGCCAATTTTCGTAAAAAACCATGAGCTATAGCTCATACTTTTTTGGACGATTTTTTTGACCTCGCCATTTTCCAGTTGTTTCGTATACCATGACACCTACAGATCACAATAGTCCTCTGTAGGTTGATAAATGCCACTTAAATCCTCGTTTTAAGCTTAAATAAAGAAAAATCGGATGATACTCAATTAGGACCATGTGGCCGAATTTAAGAAAAACGACCAGGTTTAATATTGGGCAATTTTCGTTAAAACCATGAGCTATATCTCATACCTTTTTTTTGGACGATTTTTTTTACCCCGCCATTTTCCAGTTGTTTCGTATACCATGACACCTACAGATCACAAGAGTCCTCTGTAGGTTGATAAATGCCACTTAAATCCTCGTTTTAAGCTTAAATAACGATAAATCGAATGATACTTAATTAGACCCATGTGGCCGAATCTAGGAAAAACGACCAGGTTAAAAATTGGATAATTTCGTAAAAAACCATGAGCTATAGCTCATACTTTTTTTGGACGATTTTTTTTTACCCCGCCATTTCCAGTTGTTTCGTATATCATGACACCTACAGATCACAATAGTCCTCTGTAGGTTGATAAATGCCACTTAAATCCTTGTTTTAAGCTTAAATAAAGATAAATCGGATGATACTCAATTAGGACCATGTGGCCGAATCTAAGAAAAACGACCAGGTTTAATATTGGGCAATTTTCGTTAAAACCATGAGCTATATCTCATACCTTTTTTAGGACGATTTTTTTGACCTCGCCATTTTCCAGTTGTTTCGTATACCATGACACCTACAGATCACAATAGTCCTCTGTAGGTTGATAAATGCCACTTAAATCCTCGTTTTAAGCTTAAATAACGATAAATAGGATGATACTCAATTAGGCCCATGTGGCCGAATCTAGGAAAAACGACCAGGTTAAAAATTGGCTAATTTCGTAAAAACCATGAGCAATAGCTCATACTTTTTTTTGGACGATTTTTTTGACCCCGCCATTTTCCAGTTGTTTCGTATACC